AAGTAGGGCCTCAGCCCGTGCCACTAATAATATTCAACCTTTTCCATGTTGCACCGTCAGCACGTTTTTGACATTATTAAGGCTCAGAATGTCCCATCAGCGTTGACTTTATATTCCTGGAGCACTGACTCACTCCTCTGTCCATTCATATGCAGATGAGTGGTGTTTGAGATTGAAGGCGCAGTGTCACATTTAACCCTTTAAACTCTAACAGTCACGAGCAGTTCACATCTGTCAGGCCACAATGAGCAACCTTGGACTCTGGATTAGAGACATTTGGGGGAATTTTGAAATGCAATAAGTCACTCTGCCCCCCTTTTACTGAACACATTTGATGAAATAAAGCACACTTCAGACAGAGTGTGGTCCCAGTGCATGGATCTCCAGGCTTGGAAGGGGTTAAGTAAAAGATCTGAGTAAATAAAAACCACTTTGTATGACAACGTGCATGTTTTCTAAAACCCCTCCTGCAGATCAAGGCCTGCTTCAAGGCTACCTGGTTGAGGGTCCTGCAAGGGCGAATGTCAGAGCCATCCAAGGCCCCCCTGGTCCCCCCGGCCCTCCCGGACCAGCTGGCTACAGCCGCGTCATCGGAACCTACGGCAATGTCACAGCTGACCTCATGGACTTCTTCAGAAGTGAGGATACAGAGCTATGATTTTCCACACGACGCTCTATCAGTAATGGAAAACTACACTGACTTCTGTGAGTGTAGCTGGAAAATGTTGCGTCATCTCGATTAAATCTGTGCTTTTGCTCTCCAACAGCCCATGGCACCATCCCCGGCCCTCCTGGAGTCCCCGGACCACAGGGAGACCGAGGCTACCCAGGACCCAAAGGAGACAAAGGTAACAGCGTTGATGAGACACTGCACATTACCAAAAGTCTTGTATTAGCGGAGCAACAAACTTAGAGCTTTTGTGTGATTACAGGTGATCCCGGACGCCCAGGTTTACCCGGAATACCAGGCTCATACTCTCTCCAGATCCCACACAGAGTCCAGAAGAGGGATGCAGGTAACTTGAGTTAAGATAAGACTTTAAACTACATCAAAAAATAACCATACATGTGTCTTATCTCAGTGTTCTTTTCATCTGCTGCAGAAAACAAAGTGGTCGGCCGTCGTCAGAGGAATCGCCGTCAAGCCAGAGGTGGCTAAAGGGTTAACGTACTACTGCAACATGTCACGTTTCATTTCAGTTTTTCTTGTCTTTTTTCTTAGGTGTTCAACTGTACCGATACAAGTAGTAAGAAAAAAAAAACAAAACTCTTTATTGATGCCATCTGTAGAAAAGTCAGTTTAAGAAAATAAAAGCAGCCATAAAAATGCATCAGTGTCTTTAACACGGCTTCAGTAGAGGTAGAGATTCAACTGCTGGTCAGTGTTTTCGTGACACAGACTTCATCTTTTTCGACATGTGGGTGTATAATGTTTACTTTGCTTGATTAGAAGCTTGCATTCCGACCTTTTTTTTTTCCAGGGGCAGCTTTGTTTAAGAGAATATATATTTTTAAGCAACAACTAGCAGCCGCTGATATTTTATTTGCTTTTTTTTTTTTCTCCACTGAGTGTCTGGTGTATTATTTTTTTTGTAACTGTTGTCGTATGAGGATTATATTGTTTTGAGGACTATATCAGTGCTAAATGCATTCATTTTTCATTCACCCCAAACAAATTACCAAACAACATGCTCTTTATAAAGCGTGAAGCTGGCGGATCAGTCAGAGTGAGGGTCAGTTCTAAACGAGGGTTATAGGGAACAGGTTTAATTGAAAGCTCTGTTGGTAAGGGAAGACATAAATCAAGTTGGTTGCATGGTTGAAAGACAGCGACTCAGATGATCACTCAGAAATAACTGGCTGGATTGTATATTTTTGTGTGAAAGCGCACTGAATTTGATATATATTTTCTTTATACCTTTAAGTGTTAGAAAGATTAAATTATAAAATGTTCCCAGATTATGTTTTACATGATTGAACTTATTGACATTTGATCGATATGTCTGAAAGACACAAAAAATAAATCTATTTTTGGATTTGTGAGTGTTGATATTTGTATGAGTAAATTGATGTCAAAAGGTGCCAAATAAACAGTCAATATTTTTATTTACAAGGAAAACAAAAAAAAAAGTCCATTTATAAAGACACATTAAATACATTTGATCTGACATCAAAAATGCATATACTAAGAATATACATTGTGGTAGAATGACACATCAAAATGCTGTAACTTAAAATAAAAAAATATCTGAACTCTATGGGTCGAATGGTGTAATTCACATGACACATCCTCTGATGCCTCCGATTAAAATCCAGCATTTGTGACAAAACACGAGTTGATGTCAGCGTACGGAAATTCTAACATGCGTTGATGGGATGCAGTGGCAGGACAAACTAATCTCGTGTTGTGAACCGTCAATACTTTGCTCGTAAAATACAGCGGAGGGCATCTCCTCACACACTGAAGTTCATACAGTTACAGCACTGGTCTCGACAAGAGCAACAGCTCACCGTGAAGAGCGATTACAGCAGCAATATATCAGGAATACAGGCTTAGAAAACAGAAGTGGTCGTAAAATACTAAGGGCATATCTGAAAAAAAGGTAAAATCGTAAGTAATTTTTTTTAAAAAAGCAAGAAAAAGATGCTGAAACGATTCAGTTGGAGGTTGAATAGGCTCGGGTGAGACAAAGGGCAAAGTTTACGACTGCATATTTTTTTTCTTTAGCTCATGTGGCAAAACAGTGCAAATCAACAGCTTTACATTCCTTAAGTTTCATAGTTTACAGCAAATCATTCGTTTGTGAGAATATCGCTCAAATTAACTCCCAAAAAGTAAAGTGATTTACTTTATATATATATATAAAAAAAATTCTTCAGGAAGCAACATGTCACCGGTGTGTTTAACTGGGAGATGTGTGTTTTACAGCACTGAAATGATATTATGTGCTAAATAAATAGATATACTTTTGTTCATTCATCTCTCCAGACGGTAAAATGCTCATGGTAAGCACAGCGTTTGATTAAACTTCATATGTAGGTACACACTTGCAACACAGTACATTCTTTTTCATTTGAACTCACAGCCGTATGACGCTGTTTTTTTTGACTCCCATGACGACATCAGACACTGCGCACAGAAGACTACACAGCCATAACAACGTCTTACAACTACAGACTGTTTTCTTTTGACTCCTCCGTACGTCTCCCTTCATCGAGATCTATTTTACATGCAGCAAAACTGAATTTCAGCCTGTGTGAAATGATTAAAAGAAATCTCTCGACATGTTGTGATCATGAGCGGAAATGATAACCAGTTAAGTGCAAAACATTCTGGGGGGGGGCATCGCGTTTACTGCAAGCTGTAGAAAACACAGGGAAGGGCCTAAATGCAGAGAGGAAAAAAAGAACATATGAGGCACTGGAGATCATTCATACCGTAGCAGGCTGTGCTTACAATAACTTGATAAGCATGACTGACCTTAGCTACCAACCGCAGACTTTTAAAATCTGAACATGCTCAAAAAAGTGCATATTATCTGTTAGAGGTTTCCCAGCAGGCTGAGAAAACTTGATTAAGTGAGGGAACGGTGTGTAGGCACGTCATGCTCACTAATGGTGGAATCAAAGCAGTGAGGACATTTTCATGTTTATCGCTAGCGGTCAGAGAAATGATGTCGATCCACCTGGAAAAGTCTGTGAGCGCAGCCGGAGTCTGTTGTGTTAGCACAGACACCCACGAGGCTATAAACCAGAGTTGTGCAGGTTTGGGATGGGGTAGAACTTGGATACTCGGCTCTGGGTGGTGGGGTTAAGGCATTCGGACTCCCCGCTCATCTTGAAGAAAACCTCCTGCTCCTGCAGCTTTCGTGTGAACTCCTCCTCCAACGCCTGCAGGGGGCAGCAGATACAAACAACTGAATCAAACGGTTTTAAAATTACATCACATGAAATCTGAGAATGTGTTTAGACAGTGTAAGCAGCAGCTTAACAGTGAACATTGTAAGACTGTAAAGAGAACTTGTCAGACATAAATCCTTAAGTCAAAGAGAACATGGACATTAAATATACCTTCTTCCTGGGTCTGAGCTTCTCTCTCCATTCCTTAATCTCTTGGCTGTGCTCCTCATCCAGCTCCTTCAGCTTTTGGGTTTCGTGTTCAATCAGAAGGTGGCATTTCTCATTCTGAAAGAGAATGTGGGTCAACAACACATCAGTCCTGTCCGCCGCTCACTTTACCTGCACTGGAATATCATGAAGCCTCGGCTTCTTCTAACATATAAATCACCAGGTGGTCTTTCCTTTCACTCGTTTATTATATTTCAAGACCTTTTACAATAACTGCTCTCTATTTATGATCCAGGTACTTAATCTTGTTCATGTCATCTCAGCACAGAAAAAGATCAGGAGAAAAAAAAACCCAATCCTATAATCATCTGAATCAGATGAAGGAGAAATAAAACAATAATTTATCACATATTATTTCAACTTGTTAGTTAAAACGTTACTTATATCAATCATATTTATTACAGACACTGTTTTTCAAAATGTCCCTTTTCTTTTATTTCCTTAAGTCACTGTTCATGCCTGTAGCCTCTCACCAGCCAATCATGTCCACTACCTCTTAAACTAACAAGCCCCTCAGCTGCTGCTATCTTTAGTCATTCAGTCCCAGCTAGCTAGAGCAGCACTGACGCAAAGTTATTCTGAGACAACTAACTAAAGGCTGCTTTAAATAACAGGGATGGAATATTTAGCATTTTTCCAAATATTGGTATTGTTTTTTTTTTACAAATTGATTCACAATGAATAAAGACAAATTAAAAATTGTGCTACTTTGGAACTGATTCAGCTGCCTCCGTCCGTCTTCAGTCAACACTGTCTGGACTTGAGCAATGTCACCCAAACATCACTATGTGATTGGCTGGACATTCTAACCTGCTTTGAATTAAACTGATGCCAAACATAAATAAACAAAGGAATTTCAAGTTTGTGTCATTCAGAATTTTTAAATGTTTACTGCAAATCAGTCCTGCAAAAACCATATCAGTCGATCCTTAGTAAAAACAAAAAACATACAGACGCAGTGTTATTTATGTTTTAAGCTGTAGCTTAACAAGGCTACACTGCCACTGATCCAGCTCGACTAGCTTGTGAGCTTTCGCTGTGTAGGATTAGTTTGGAATTTTCAAATTTGAAGCGCTCCACAACGGGCAAATGTAAAGAATGAGTACGGCTCGCCTCGATAAACTTGGCAGGCAGCAAATGAACATTTGCAACATCAGCAGGGCTTAACTGGATCAATAAAACAAAGAAGGATAAACAACTGCCAGAAGAGGCTGTCACACATATTATTTACATCAATTTAGTCAGACTATAACACACGGCCGCCTACTCAATACCATTAATGTTTTAAAAGGCCTGTCATTTACTGATACAGCCTTGTTAATGTTCTTTTTGTAGTTGCTGACAAATTGAGCGGCGTCAGAGCATCTACTTCTCGGTGAAATCAGGGTGTAAAATTCCCCAGTCTGAGGTCGGACTTTGAGAGCTGCTCCATCAAATTTTATGAGGTCCAAGTCACATCTAATGCAGCGTTAGTCAGCATCAAAGTAAAGTGTCAGTGTTATGAGCTAGTTCTAGTTTGAGCAACTGCAACGAAGGTCTGGTTTTGCTCTGTGCGGAGTTGTGCGTCTTTCTCTGATGGACATCTTTAGAATCAAAATGCTGCAGTGGTATCAGGCTAACTTTAGCTGCTGCTGTTAACAGTATCTCCCCACTTCAATGCTCAGCAATAAGGCATATGGAAAGCATTTACGGTCATGCTTAAGGTAAATACAGAATATATAGTTAGTGCTTCAGTGTACAGTACTCCAGTGTTAGATTTAGTATTCACAGCAGCAGACTTTTTAAAAAGACCAAAAGTGAAGTGTGAGTTTTAATCTCTGGCGCTCCATAAAAATGTGGTTTAAAACATGTAAATACGTAAAGTGTGTGTGTGTGTGTGAGTGAGTGAGTGAGTGAGTGAGTGAGTGAGTGTGTTCTAGCCCCACCTGCAGCTGCTGCAGCTCCCTGATGTTAGAGTCGCACTGCAGCTGCAGATCTCTCATCTGGTTCTCGTGTTTCTGGTGCTGATGGAGTCTCTCGTTCTTCTGCCTCTTTTCTTCCTGTGCAGCAAACTGGATCACACAAACAAAACACAACAGACAGCTGTCACAGCAATTCCTTAATACCACAAACATAGCAATAGGAAGCGATTTGTTGTTTTCGCACAAGGCTTGTGTTTTGGAAGGAGGTCTAATTGTGCCACAGTCAGCACTAATAATTACGTAACCGAGACACCTGGGTAGGGAGTCGTCCATTTCAAACAACACGCTGGTTGTAACCACAGAATCCTCTTGTTTTGTTTTACCATCTGCTTTTCAGATATTTGTAACTATTTCTTTGCTGCTTTTCAAGATGTTAAAAATTTCCTTCAACAATGTTCACTCATCTTTTGTGAACAAAACTAAACTGAAACAACATTTTGAATGGGATGGAGCCAAGTGAAGCTTGTAAAACAGGGAGTGGAAAGTTGCTGGAGAGAGATCCAGACAGGCTGGAATAATTATGTGTACTGTGTTTGTAAGGGGCAGCTCCTAGGTGTGACTGTTCGCCAGTGTGACACAGAGCTGCTAAAAAAAAAGGACGACGCATGTTCAGTCAGTTCTCCTTAAAGTGACAAGAACAAATTGTAAAACCGACATGGGCCACAGAGTGCGTACCTGTTTAATCTTTTCTCTCTCCTGCTCCGGGGTGACAGATGCCGTGGCGGTGATGCGAAGGCTCTTCTTGAACATGGCCATGCGAGTCTTGGCATCGCTGCGCTGGATCTTGGGCAGACGAACCCTCTCTTGAGTCTGTTTGTTCTTCATCTCCTCTATCAAACGCTGGTTGTAGCGGTGCATCTGCTCCATCTCCTACAAAACACACATGTGTGCCCGTAGTTTTGTGTTCAGCAGGGTATTTAAATTAAACAGTACATGTCTCTAGGAAGACTGCTCTGTAAGGCCTTACTTTCTCATGCCTCTTCAGCAGCTGGTGTCTCTGCATGAAGTACTGGTCTTTCAGCTGCTGCTTCAGCTGCTGGTGCTTCTCCTGCAGGTGGCGCTCCTCCAACTCCCACATGGCGGCCTCTCGGGCTACAAAACACACACGTGAACACACAGACACTAACCCATCAGACAAGGCTATGTAAGTATGAGTTAGCAAACATGCGCATGCATGTTAGCTGGCGACAAGTAGAGGGATGAAAACAAAACAGAAAGGCAGCACTGGCAGCAAGTTGGACAGGCTGTAACATGTCTAGTCAAACAGAACGTCTGTATTCTCAGTTGTCTGCATGTCACAGTCAGCATTTACACACCTGGCAAGCAGAGAAGGCCCCACTGACATGCACTTCCTTTACATGCTGACAGTGAACCAAAAGTAAAAGTAAGTTTTTTTTTTTTAGACCTTTCAGTCTGTTGTTGGTTTCATGTCTGCCAGACTTGAAACCAGGACAGGATGCTGAGTCGTTTGTCTTTTTGTCAGGTTTAGTGGTAACATAGTGCACGGATGGATTGATAGAAGCTGCGATAACTTCAGCCGTATTGTCAGCCAATCAGAACAAGAAGTCTCACCATGTTTCATACCAGTATATGAACCAACTATAGCAGTGTGCTTCAAACCAATCAGTGCTTCACTAACTTTAATATACAATTAGAACACTGACAAAAAACAAAAGCAAAACAATGATGAACTGCATGTCTCTAGAATCAGATTTTTACACCAAAAAAAAAAAGTGTCTGTCAAATAGTTCCTTCTCCATCTCCTACCTCTCATTAACTGCTGCTTGTGGTTGAGGCAGTCTCTCTCAATAGTCGCGATCTCCACTTTATGCTGCTGGATGATTTTCTTCAGAGCTCCATCCAGCTCTTGCTGCTGCTTCTGTAGGAACTCCTGCTCCTGAGGATTCAGACAGAGGAAGAGCAGTGAGCAACAGCCTGAGGAAGCCACGGAGTTCATACAGAGCCAAGAGGAGACGGAGAAAGCACAAGAACATGTCACGGTACAAATGCATGTTAAGTATCAAAACTGCCTGGATTTAATCATTACATGGTGTAGTCATCCACTTCAAATTCAGTACAACACAAGATGTCACAGCATCAACTAGACTCAGTAAAGGAGACACTCAGAGATCATGGATGGCAAAGATCCACAATGGAAGTGAAAAGAGGAAGCAAGAAAAGTTGACAATTCAGTAGAGAATCAGATTCACGGTTTTATGTAAGACAACATCTACATTAACATTCACATCGTCCAAAACCCGGCCTACATTATGCATGACTCATTAGGAAGCTGGAATTATCTGGTCATTTTATTTTCCTCTTCTCTTTATATTTCATTTAAGATGTTGTAATTATCTGCTTTTTACAGCAGATCTCTAATACCTTGCTCGTGGCAAATTCTTGGTCTCACAGCTATTACTTAACTATGATTAGACATAAGTGATCGTATAATTACACAGAAGCCACGTTATCAGTAGAAAGCCGACGTAGCATTAATATTATACATCTGAATCCAAATTAGCAAGGGTAAAGTGTAATACAATAATCAGTTTATGCACTATACAAGAGACTTTCATCCATCCTGTGAGGCAGTCTTTCTATATTTGGACCTTGGCTGACAGAGACAAACATGGATCCAGACAGAAGGGGATCAACAACTGCACCACCACTGCACATTCTGGACTCAAATCTAGTCTTATGCAAACAAGTGTAAAGCATTAAAAATACCATATAAAAATACACAGACCAGATGTAGAACATTTGTGGATCGGTGGAGGGAAAAATACGGAGCAGGAGAAGAAGAAAGAACCACTGCACAAACACAGTGATGGCAACACAAAAAAAACAAAAAAAAACCAACGCCGCCCATGCTTACATGTGTCGTAAAAATGTCAAACTGTACCATCACAATCCTGTCACTTAACTTCACACACATCTAAGTATGGGCCAGAGACGGGGAGGGGGGAGAGAAACGGGACGGGAGGAAGGGGGACACTTACATCCTGCATCTGAGCGTTGAAGAGTGCGCATGAGGACAACTGAAAAGACTGTATCATAACCTGGGCCACTGCCTGCGGAGGAGAGCACACAGCGCACTCGCCCTGATCAGGGACAGACAGCACACAGCAGGCTGAGGATCTCTCACACAATCACATCATCACCCGCACTCACTCGATTCTTCCTAAGTTATGTAAGAGATGGGTTTTCCGCTTTGGGAATGTCGGTGAGTTTGAGGCGCGCAGCACAGTTCTGGTCAAAATGTTAGGAGGAAGTCAATTAATTCTCGCCTTGTCATGCTTGAAAGCGTAATTCCAGCATTTCAGTTGAATCCAGCTCGCAAAAAAAAAAAAAAACAAGCAGTATTGTTACCTTCCATGCTACTGGCTCATGGAGCTGTTAATAATCTAAGAGTTACCATTCAGAGAGAAAGAGGGCCTTTGTGCACATGACTCATGTCTAATTCATTAAAGATGCACAGGAAAGCAAAGTTTGGAAAGAGCTTTCAGTACAGATGTCTGCTGTGGAAACAAATGCTGTGTCTGCAGTCGCTGCCTCATTCATTAATTCACTGTTCCCTGCATGATGAACGCTCAAGGGTGCTGTGAGGGAGCTGGTAAATTGAGAGTGGACACTTATGAGTCATCATCTCCACCACAAACCGTACGATCGCCGCAGAAGTGTGCGATGATATAACGGTTTCACATAAATAATCCCAGATGCAAAGATTAAAAATTGCACTGTGGGGTGTTGTTTTGTTCAGTTGGTTTTTTTAAGGATTAAATCTATGCACTGCAACTAACAATTATTTATTAATCCTAAATACCTTATGACACATCAGTGATTTAAATAATAAATAGCCAAAGTGTACAAGCTAGTACGGTAAAATCTACGGTAGCAAATAGGGAGTGACTACAGACACAGCCATGCTTTGTGTTTGTGCTTATATGTATATCTTACAAAAATAAATCAGGTTAGAGGGAGAGAGTAGAAAAAAAAAGGAGATAAGGACAGAAAAAGTCATCTCTCAGTCTTTCACAGAGTAAGAGACAGAAGGTTACGCTTTACCTCTGCAGTCTTGAGGAGCGATAGGTCCTCCTTTAAGCGTTTCATGAGCTCTTTTCTCATGTGTTTGGGTGATTGTCCAACCTCCTGCTTGGCCTACAGTGTGTGTATGCAGAAACTGGTTGATGCTGTATATTCTGAAAACCTAACAAAGCCGGCCAGCAACAGTAGGAGACATGCACGGCCCCACTTTGACAGGAGAGATACTGCATCCAGCCACCAACTGATTTCATGTCAGCATGCATAAATTCCCACGGCCTGCGTTTGATATTCCTTTAAACAAATCTGAGCTGTTTTTTTCTGAGTACAACAGAACTGTCAGATTGAACAGCACGTTAGATTCATGTCAAAAGAAAGATTTGACTGGTGCAAGGCAGGAGATGTTAGTCTGAAGAACGGCTCCACCTACATTATTCTGCATTCAATTAAGTCCCACAGCCATGAATATGATTATTTTGACTCTTGAAATTAAAAGAGTAGAGTAACTGAGTTGGAACAGTTTTCAGAACAGATAAGATTTCACTTTGGTGAATCAGCAGGTCAAATGTAAATTTCTTCAAATCTAACAACTCATCAAGGACTTGGAGTGCAACTAGCTAATATTTGTATTAATACACTACTATATAAGATATTGATTTTACAATTGGACAAAACTGCTTTTTTTTTTTTTTGCTTTAAATATTGCTTAAAAAAATAAATAGCTTCTGAATAATCTCATTACATCCACTAAGTGTTGCAGCTCCAATAAAGACTATTCCATATCAGTTACTCTGATGCAAGGCTTTTATGATTTCACCCAAATGAACCCAACACCACTTAGAAAAATCTTTCAAAGTTGGCCATCCCATGACCAAAGCCACCTCACACACTCATACAAAAGACATGGTTAGTTAAAAACACAGTTCCAGTGCATTTTGCATAAAGAACATTGCAACAACAACAAAAACAAACAGATATTTTTATCAGAAGGCAAATGCATGTATTTTTTTTTATCTAAGCAACAACAAAGTACATTGGATAGGCCTGAAACAACCACAAGCCAACCTGTGGTATGGTAATATTTCTAAGCACACTGCAAATAGTAATAAGTGGCCCAGAAACCAAATCGGGAGCAGCACGACCACCAAGGTACCATAACGCACAATGGATGCCTATCAGCACAACTGCCATAAATAAGCCGCGTAAAGCAGAACTTACAAACTGAAAGCACACCCAAAGCACCCAGCAAAGCATTTAAAGGCTGCTAAAGAGCAAACAAAGAGGCAGAAGAGTCTAATAAAGGCTGAGCATGAACGTATAACAAGCCTAGGATACATCATGGTAAGATATTGTGCTTAGCTGTGTTATACTTGGACTAAACTTCTTTTAAACAGTTCTCTAAAAATAACAAATAGAATCTAAGTAGCAAAGCATTTCTTAGGTGGCGACTAGAAGCCTTGAGGCAGATGAATAATGGATACAACAGCATGGAGCAGCAAGATCTAGGAGAAAGGTAGTACAGCCTAATCTGCTGCGATCATTTGCACACATACGGTATTAGGCAAAACAGCAGGGCACACCACTCCCATAGGATTAGTACGACAAAACCAAGTGAGCCACCAGCTGAGTTGTTAGACACATGCACCATTAAACAGCTCGTATACATCCCATGCAGATAACCCCTGGTTCCTAAAGTCAAGATCTACTCAGCCCACTAAAGCCACCTCCATTTAGAATCAGTCATGCAGGACCATACCTCTTTCTTCCGGTTCTTCAGCATGTTCTGGAACTTGGAGAGCTCCTTGTCTTGGTCCGCTTTGATGCGTTTGGCTTCGTCTCTGAGGCGACTGGTGTGATCCTGTTCCAGTCGCTCGATGGTCTGTTTCTGCTTCTTCTCAAGATTCTCCACTTCTTGGTCATATTGACGCTTCTTAGCCTGCAGAATCGATACACACTGGCATCAGCCTGACAGGATAGCTGCAAGCATTTATACAGTATGTGACTTACTATCCCAGGATCAATAAGGTAAACGGCATACGTATGTTTTTCAGGCTGTGCATACAGTTTTGGATGCTATTAACTAGTTGAAGAGAATTGCATTTCACAGTGGATGTTATAAAAGATGGAGACAAACTGGTGTTTAGATTTAGATGAAGCAGCTCGTTTCCTTGGAGTTGACCAAATAAAAAAACCCCACAACAACACACAAATAAATCACACTACTGCAGCGCAAACAAACTGACTCACAGTAGTTTCCTGTTCAAAGCGCCGGTAGATCTGCTCTCTCTGCTGCTGCAGCTTGTTGCTCAGCTGCTGCTGGGCCCTTTGCTCCTCTTTCTGAAGAAGGCGCAGCTCTCTTAACTCCTGCCGCCTGAAGAAACCACACCAGTAGTAGTTATTCATCTCGACATAACAGTTTATTCACAAATAAATCTACACATTTTCTTTTTCTTATTTTTATGGTTGCACACCTATTGTTTTTTCCTAATGTGCAACAAAAGATTGATTACAAAATAAATGTTTTTTTTTATTCATTTTTCATATAAGGCTATTCTCTTAATCTTGTTCTGGTCTGAATGTTTTTGAATCACTGGCTGTTAAATACACAGATAAATATTCACCTTGTACATGACTGGCACAAGGTTATGAACCCGATAACAAATAGTCAGGCGGCACTTGTACAAATAGTCACAGCAGCATGTCTCATGTCTTTAAAAGGCAACATGGGAGATGACAGTAATATAATGCAGCATTCATCATAGGAGATAACCCATCTGGCACTTGCAAAAAGCAGTGGGAGTTGTGAAATAAACGAGAACTATTTAAGGCAGGCATGTTAAATAGGTCACGTCCCACATTTAGACCAACAGTATGTCAAGCAGATTGGATACAGACGTACCTCAGGAACCTCATCTCCTCATTCTTGGTGTCGTTATCTGTCACTATCTTTGACGTCGTCACGCTGACCTCCACACCATCCACCATAAACTTTCGTGTCTTCTTCAGAGTCTTCTTCTGACGTCTTGACTCCTATAAAAAAAAAACAAGATTTTTGGAGGCTCAAATGATCAAAGGCGTGTCAGTAATATAATAATTAAAGCTGTAAGAGACTGTATTACCTGCATAGACACAGAGCCTCCTTCTTTGCTTTTGGACAAGAAGCTGGAGATGGACAGATTGAGGTCGAGGCTGCTGCTATCGGCAGCAGAGCTGCTTCCAGAGTCAGAGTCCTTCTCCACATCTGGCTTAATCACAGCAGGGCTTCCTTGCTCCATCTTAGGTTCGGAATCTGTTTCACTCTCAGGAACAGAGACAGCATCTTGGGAAGTGCTCTCATCTGCACGGGTCGCTTTCTCCTCATCTTCTTTCACAGGGACGTCTTTAGATGGGACCACCTGCTCTGAATCTTCGGAGGTGTCTTTGGCTTCATGACTAACTCCATTTGTGGACTCAGTTGGTGCTTGTTCCTCCAGTTCAACCTCCTCTCTGGTCTGATTCTCTTGTTCTGGCTGCTGTGGCTCCTCAGAGGCCTCATCCTTGGGTTTCTCTTCTGGCTGACCCTCTATGGCCTTGTCCTCTACCAGAACCTCAGTGGAGGATTCATCCACCCTTGACTTTGTGTCTATGTCTCCATTTATGTTTGTGTCTATTGAATCTGATTCTACATTTTCCGTGTCTATGTTTACATCTGTGCCATTAGCCATGTCTTCTACTCTGTCCTCTGTCACTTTGTGTTGAGGTGCTTCTTCATCCGGTTCTTTGCCTTGTTCTTCTGTCTGTGCCACTTCTCCTGATATGGATTCAGTTTTCTCTGGTGTTTCTTCAGGTTTCTCTTGTGATTCTCTGTTTTCTTCTGTACTTGCTTCTTTTTCTTCATCTTGTTTTACCTCCTCTGGTCCCTGTTCCTCCTCTGTTACCTGGGAGGGTTGATCATTTATTTTAATTTCTTCTGTCTCCTTCTGTTCTTCCTCTGTTTCTTGACCAACTGCGACAGATTCTTGACCATCTACTGTCTCTACAGGCTCTTCTGGTTGTGATACTACAGGCTCAGCAGGGATCTCTTCAGCTTGATTGCCTTCTGGTTTAGGTTCTTTAGAATCTTGAGAGACCAAGTCCTTTCCAGGCTCAGTTAGTCCAGAGGGCAGGTCTTCATTACTGGCATCAGACACCTCATTGAGTTTCTCCTCTTCAGTCTTGTCTACTTCACTTGTTCCAAGTCCTTCATCAGAAAGCTTATCACTGGTTCGGTCCTCAGCAGGCTCAGCCTCCGTCTTTTCTGTAACAGATTCGAGGGTGGAGGGGGTCGGTGGGACTTTGTCATCCTCTGAGCTGGCCACGCTGGCATCTGACGGCGCCCGCTTATGCCCAGGAACAGCCTGAACAAACAAAAAAATATGATAATTACAAAATCATCACATAATTTCAAATATATTTTGTTGTGTATCGTTATGCTTGTTGTATACTTCTATAGTGAAATACATACCAGAGGTGTATCGGCCTCTTCTTCCTCTTCCTCCTCTTTGCTATCCTCAATCTCTTCTGTGACTTCAGCTTTGGCCTCAGCGATGAGCTCTCGGAGAGGCCTGCTATCAGTAACACTGGTGACAAAAGGATGCTAAACAAATGGAAAGGGGAACAAGGACGGGAACAAAAAAACAAAACTGAAAATGACCTTTAAAATATGACAAATGTTTTATGACAGATTTGTATGCATTCAGTGGGTTATATTGTAGTCTGCAGGTGTACACTCTGTGATAACGGCAGAGTGTGAATGGTGCGAGGCAGCTCACCTGTAAAAGCTGTGGTGCGCTCCACCTATTGTCTACATTCTTATCAAGTGCCTTCCGCAGAAAGTCGTTGAATTCTGGTGACCTTTGAAGAATAAATGAAAAAAAGGGATTAGTTTGTTGGCAGACTAAGTGTCCCTGAGTCCTGCTTTGTGGAATCAAATCAATGCCATTCTTATTTCTGTTGCCATTCAGGTAAGCAGAAATAACTCATCATGAACTCACACACTGAACACTCAACATATCCTCATCTCCATTCTGGAAACATTCCAGTGCCACCTCTCGAGTTATCACCAGCACACCATCTTACCAGCGAGAGGGATGCATGAGTGTGGGCGGCTCGGACTTGGCTATTTTCAGCAGCACTCTCATGGGATTCATCTCGTGGTTGGGTGGTTCAATCTGTGCCAGCTCGATGAGGGTTACCCCGAGGGACCAGATGTCGGCCTTGTAGTCGTACGGACGGTCTTTGGAAGTTTCGCACATTACCACCTCGGGGGCCATCCTGCAAAATTCAGTCAGTCAGTGGGTATGTCATAGCATTAAGCAAATTATGGACTGCAAATGAATGTGTGGATTCAGAATAACTTTTTGATCCTCAAAGGTCATCTCGCTTTAACTTTTAAGGGAAAAAGGCTAACAAAGTAGGATGTGTGTGCATTTGATTCTGGAAGTTGAAAGATAGAAACCCTATTCAGTATCTAAAGCTAAGGTCAGCCAGCGTTTAACCTTTGAATTGCTGAATGAGGCTTCCTCCTTTATCCCACAGTCAATGCAGATTTATGTGACACTATAAAGAAAAATGATCACCCTTGCTGTGGGACACGCTAAGACAATTATCAGATGGAAATGGGTGAATGCCCTCTTGCATCCAGACGTGATGACTCACCAATACGGAGTGCCGATGAAAGAATCTCTTCTCTGTAGCGTCTTGGTATTTTTAGCAGACACCCCAAAGTCAGCTGAAAGTAGAAATAAATTATGATTCTTTTCATGACTGAATCAAGCTAAACTGTATAATAGCACAGTGTGAAACAGTGAATACACTACAATAGACGATTTAAAATAACCCATAGCAAAGTTCTGTAAGAGCAACACAATTACAGCTGAACTGGATATAAGCTTTTAAATTTGAGCTGAAAAAATGAGCAGAAAAGCCTCAATTTCCTTTTTTATAATACTCACAGGGTAGATCATCGTTCCCTCTGTTCTGTTACCTGCTATTTCAGCCCGCTGTCTTGTTCTAACATCACTTTGCGTTAGAGGGAAAAAGCGATCTATCATTAAGTCCCTGGTGACTGGCTTGATAATTATTGTTTGCTAGGCTCCATCATGACCCTCTGCCTACAGAACATGAATCATCAGGGAGCCAGCAGCTATGGATGCTGCAGCAGCAACATGAAGACTTTTACTTCTGGAGTGTTATGTAACCAATTCAGTGTATCACCAACTCCTGTACTTAAGTGGTGTATAAAAAAATACAGTACAGAAAGCACATCTCTTTGTTTTGTATCTTTTTGAACTGGAAGCCACGAGTATGACTCATTACAGTTTTATCAATTGTCACCAGTTTCCCCAAAGTCAAGTCATAAACAGATACACAACTGACTCTCCTTATAAGTGCTATTCAAGGACATACACCTAAGAGAGAAATCAACAGAGACCCGGCTATTGCTCTTAGTAGTATTCTAACATGTGCTTAGCTGGAACGCGAGTGATCTTTCTTTACAGAATAATCACTCACATTAAGTGACTTATTGTGGCAAACGCAGCGGCAAAAGATAAGAGATTTTTACCCAGTTTTACATCTCCTTCCAAGGAGAGGAGAATGTTCCCGGCTTTCAAGTCTCTGTGGATGACTTTGCTGTCATGGAGGTAAATCAAGGCTTCCAAGGTCTGCTTACACACCACACGGATCTGGGGCTCCGTCAGGGGTCTCTCCAGTTCTGTGGATAAACATGCACACACAGAATTCCTATGTGCTTATTTTATTTGGATAATATGTTGTTGTGATTCACAATTACAGACAAAATGGATGTAGTAGTATCAAATGTGATGTCTTGATGGTATCCAATAGCAACTGGAGAAAAAAACTCCACCCCTCCAGCGTGTATGCCTGGACAAATCTAGGTGAGTCAGACCACAGAATGCAGAATGCATCAACATCCAACAGTGAAGAGAATTAACTGGCATCTTCTTTGTTATGGTAATTCACGTGTAGAAGAGTGGTGAAGTGATTCTTCAGGCTTCAAAACAACACAGAAACTTCATGCACTAGAAGTGGACAAACTGCTCCTTGAAACCTGAGCTGCAATAATTATACACTTGGAATGGCCTCTCCAACTGGGGAGAGGGAAAAAAAAAATCCCACAGTGGAGGGTTCTGGATGGAATAAAAAGAGTTGGCACTCGAGGATGGAGCAAAGAAAAAGCCCCAGGACTTCATAGTGTTACTCTGTTTCCTTCAGTGAATGAGGGACTTACCCAGCATGATGGCATCGACTGCACCACCCGCACAGAACTCGATCAGAATCTACAATGGCAAAACAAAAGTGGAGCGATAAATAATACGGCAATATAATGCAATGAAGCCGCAATTTAACAATCTCACAGCACATGATTAACCTTAGTAAAGAAATGCAATCCAGGGTAGGTGAACAACGTGACCTTTCCAGGAAAGACATAAGCCCCCCATTCTATGTTATTGATTAGGTTGTGGAGACGTTCCAAGAACCCAATCAATCAGACAATAAACAGCCATACCGGGCATCCTCTACAAACACCATTTTCAGGACATTCTCTATGTTTTAGTCCTTGATGGAATGGAATATAAGTAGATGTTCTAGCTGCAAACTAGGCAATGTGATTGTAATTCTCACTTATTATATAGACTTAAAGCAATTAAAACAAAACAAATTTGTACTGTTTAATGTTCTGCTCGTACTGTATGTCCACATATGACTCACATCCAGGATGCTTCATCATCCATTCTGCTGATAAAACCATTTCCCCATTTTGGTAAGGAGTGCAGTATATTAAAAGATAAAGCCAGCACACTCAAATTTCTTTCCTGTGGTGAAGCTTATTTAATCCCTCGCAAACAGCTGTTTTATCTACTCGTACCATCTTTAAACATTTGTATTTGTACTGAAGAATCATGGGAGGGGATATACTCTGAGGAAGTATGCCAGTGGTGTCCTAACAGATTTGTCAATTGCAAAGTGGAAGTCTGCATAACGTATTCCTCAAGAAAGCCGAGTAGTTTCTGGGCGTTTTTTTTTTTTTTGTTGTTCCCGTTACATTTTTGCTTACTGTGGGGTAATTTTCATTGCATTATAAAATCCTGTACATCTACGGAAATGTCATAACTATTAGAAGAAGTGGAGAGAACTCACACATGTCTTTTGTGCAGTATAGCAAAGTTATAGTGCCATAAATATTCAAAAGTTAAAAAGAGAGACAGAAAGAAGTGTGAGTTTCTTGAGTTATTTACCTTGCAAAAATGGGGAAAAAAATTAAAATCAAATTAAAAAAAAACCTGGGATCAATTTGTGCAACACATTTATACGTACCCACAGGACTTACCAATACCAGATAAAAGGTGACTCTACATACTACAGATATTTCACCGCAGCCCTTTTTTTACAACCTCAATAAACTCTGTATACTACTCACTACTACACTAGAAAGATATTTCACTGGGCTGAATGTATCTTTCACCAACAACTTGCTCAGCTGAATAACTTTTTTTTTTTTAAGTTATGCAGCATTTATTTTATGGCTTATTGGTGTTTTATTTTTTCTGTTAATTTCTATAATTATTTTTTTCAGCTTGTCTTCTGTCTGCTTTGTATAAACACAACCTACAGTTCAGCTGAACAGTTCCTGAATTTTCGTCATGTAATTGTTTGTTGCTTCTTGGCTGCATTGAGTAGCGCAGAATTTTTCCGCAGCTTACGGAATCTGGTTTGTTTAAAAGGTTTATTTTTGGTGATGCTTTCAATGACATGTAGACCAAAGTGAATTTTATGAAATACCACAATTCTAACCTTAGATTTTGATAATTTTGGTGACAGAATCACATGACGCACATGATTAGTTGCAGGATTGTCCTCGATAAATGGGTACATTTCAGTGATTTTTTTCAAGATGACATGTCTTTTTAAACCACCGGCAGGTTGGAGGATCAGATGGTTGCAGCTGGAAGTGTAGACGACAGCCGAACAATTTTGTGGAAAATATCTTATTGGGATTTTTGTGGATTTCTGTGATTTGATTTGTAATATAATATTCTAAAGTCAAGCTTCAGTTTAACATTTACCAGATGAAAATGTGAGGTAGAATCATCGCGTAAGGTCCAAAACGTGTAATGTTTGTAATTTCCTAATTGCACTGTTTAAATGTTAATTGTTCAGCACTAATGTAGACCTGGGTATATCACTCAGCACTGCACAGATCTTCTCACACGTTTAAACCAGGTGACCATAACCGTACAAAGACCATTGATTCACCCACAGAACATCTGAGTTCACTATATGAAGCCACAGTGAATTACACGAACCCAACACCGTTCTCTAATACTGTTACTGAGATGTAAACCTGGACAGCTTCAGACCTCAGTTGTAAGAGCTGATGTAATGTATCTGACCACCACTTCATCTGTATTGGCTTTGCCAGCACGTTGCTTGGCAGCTCATGGTATCTGATGATACACAAAAATCAATCAAAGCTACAATCGAGCACCACCCTCTATTCAGGCACTCGAACAAAGAGAAGACACAAAGTGGCTATTCCTGTTCGGCATAACAATTTATCATGCCGTGAGAATCTCTCTTATAATTAAAATTCTTTGGATGTTGATAGGTGTGCACGACTCCAGATTTGCTGGTCATTAACTTGGTTTAATTTAGACATATTGCACACATATAAATCCTCTCTTTGTTAGCAACAAATTTTCCTGTGTAGAAAAAAAAAGGAGCCTATTACACATTAACTCAACATGCAAAGAGGAGGCAGTTACACATTCATCATGCTGCTTAAAGATGGGGGCCAGAGGGAAAACCTGCATGCAGCTCTGAATTATTCACAGGCACTTTCTCCAGCCACCCAAACCACTCCATTATCTTCCTATAGTTGTGGCCAGTCCACAAGGGAGAGCCACATGACACCACCTGCCAGGACCTAATTGCTCTGGGGCCTCTTACTGCACACAGAATGAGATCTAGTGACCACGTATTAAAACTGCACTTTCTGCTCATGGTAAAATAGGTTGATAAGGAAGCAGACAGGCAGGGGGCTGGGTTTTTAGAGAATTGTATTTCAACAGAAAGCATATTTACAGTTGTAAGGTGGGTGAGAAGAAGGTCAAATGTGGTCTATATTACTGGAAGCTCCAATTTTTAAGAGATTTTTTTTAAATGTATGCTGCGGAAACATTACTGTATTTATAGATAAAAGCCTTCAATGTTATCAAGATGGTGTGTGATATGTAATAGTTCTTCTTCTAGTTAATGAGCTGTGACTTCTGAGTGGTCAGGAAATCCTGCAGTCGAACATGCAGTCCCTCTCTTGTACAGCCTCTGACTGTGTCACATGATCGGTTTTAAAATGCTTGAAAAAAAAAAAAAGAAAGCACCGCTATTATCCTTTAATCGAATGACGTAAGAGTCCTCGGAGAAACAGCATAACAAATAGTGGCTTGTGATGAATTTGTGTGTCTCTGTGTCTGACTGGTTTGCTGCCTCGATGTCTCTTTGGCTTCAAATCAACATTAATACATAAAGAAAAAAAAAAAAAAGAACTCTCAGTCAGACACTTGGTTACTTACCCAAAGTTTGCCTTCAAAATAGAAGGCATCCAGCAGTTTGACAATGTGATGGTGGTTGCAAGAAGCCAGAATGTCGATCTCGACCATGTAATCCTCCAATTCATCCTCGGTCTTTGTGTCGATAACCTTAGCAGCAGCGAGAGTCCCATTCTGCTTGTTCTGTGCCTGCAAGTACCATTGACAAAATTGTAAATTATGGAGTACATCCTCGTAACATAAAATATACAAAACAAGACAGGAACAAGAGCATGGACGTTGTGTCAGCCGAGTGTGTTGGGTCAATATATTTCTGATATTGCTGGCTGTGTTACAGAACGGCCATTTGTCAGAGTAGCAACTGTAGAGTATCCATCACGATTAACAGTTTCACTTAAGACAAAAGCCTTTTAGGAGGCAAAGTAAATGCTAAAGGGCTTTATGGCTTGTGCAGCTTACAGGGCTCTCCTAGAGGACTGCATCTCCATAAATACATTTCATAGAGACTGATAACATGTTGCTATATATTGAAAGGGAAATTTTCTGGGGGAAAAAACTCCCCAGCAACCATTTGAAGTCAAAACATTTACAACACACTCCATCATCCTGTGACCTACTCTAGCAAAAGCTGTCTTGTGAAGCTTACTCACTTCCTTCCCTTCTTCCTTTCCTTTTACTCTCTAGCACCTAATGTGGGGGTAAAATATGAAGTGCGAGATTACACCAAGCACATCTATGATTTAAATGCTTTCTGATACTGGTTGTTATATTGTTAACCGACACTCCAAAAGCTTAGATCACGATTAGCCTGCACTGAAGAGACCAATAAAAAACGACCACAGACCCTGTGAAACAAGTAGCTGAGGAGTTATTTTAAGGCCAGCCCGAGGCTTAATGTTTATGGATACAGACACAATCTCGGGGAGTTAGGGAAAAAGAAAAGGGAGGGAGTGTTAAGACCAACCGCTGCAGAGTGTGTCAGACCCTATATTTACACAGTTCTGACCTGACACACTCCCAGCCTCTTTCCCTTTGTACTGGGCCGACGCCTGTCTGACACAGGCATCACTAACACATGTGCAGATTCAGTACCGGCTTCACGACGGAGAGGACAGCAATGATTTGTCTGTCACTGAGTTACTGAAGAGAAGCTTGTGGCCTTCAATCACATGAACACCACGTTTTACAGTTTGCTATTTACGCTACACTGTTGAGGGAAAAAAATGTGTTTGTGACTGTCATAATACTGGTTAAGTAACCCGTCTAAATGTCAGTAAATAGTGAGAATGGTAACTCTCACATCACTTCATGTGTGGAGGACCGCTGTCTCTCACATTATTGTATAACTACAATAACACAGTTATGTCAGGTGACTCATTGTGTACATAGTGTTATGTTAACTCTAAAAAATGTCTGACACACCTGTTCAATTATTAAAAGGGACAATACAAACCGTGCTCGATGCATGTGCGAGTTTGAAACTCTTCTCTCTTCCTTTGTAATGCACTTCAACAGCTGATTCACACTTTGCTGGCAATCTTAGCCACCCCGCCCAAAGGAAGCAGCCCTCAAACGCCTGTGAAATAGCTAATGAAATACGCAGTGTGTGTGTTGACAGTACGGTGACCTAATGGAGGGAACTTTCTCCGCTACTCTACATGCGGGAGTCAGTACATTGTCAGGTGCATATTTGCCTACATTTGCCTACTTTACAGCTTTTGTCTGAGAAGGCAGGAAAGTCTGCTAAGCTTTCGTCACCACTGGACAACGAGCTAACAAGACTAGGAAACAAATAATGGCAAATGAAAATTTATAGGCTATTAGCTGCATTATTTGATCAGCTCCAGGAAGGAACAACAGAAGTAGCGTGCACAGAAACAAAGCTGCTTCCCTGGGATTACTGCAAAAAGGAGTCAAGGTCTAAAGACACAGAGCTTTCTTGTGCAACTTCATGGCTACTGATTTGTATTAAACTTCTAAAAATCAATCAGTAGTGAGGCAAACTTCCAATTCATCTTCTTGAAAGTTGCCTAGAAGTAGGTGTATTAAAATTATGCTTAGAAATTGAACAAAAAAAGGAACTATTTGACCTCCATTTGACACTGGCCTTTTCAAACGGTGTTCTCCACCCAGAACAAATTCACACAAAGATAACGTGAAACGGTGACTAAGTCAGCAGAGATTACAGGATCTTAAATAGCTTTCCATGTAATGCAACCTTAAAATGCAAAATACAGCCACAGATATAACTACATACAAAAAAAACAACCTCTCTCTGGCTCTGACTTTCATAGAAAGAGCTGACAAGGTCCACACAGGCAGCACTTGTTCAGAAGCCAATTCATAAAGTTGTTTTACACTGTTCTGGCGCTACAGGTATTGTGTCCATCTGTACGTGTTGATGAAACAAACACACCATAAACCAAAGCTGACAAGCCACTACACTAAATCTACACACACACCTGCGCACCTGTCACAGTGTATGCCATAAACTAGATCCATTTTCACAACTGGCTGGTTCTACATGGCTGGGAGTGATTTTAATTTTAAGGACACCTGCTCTGGGGTTTGTTTTTTTTCTTTACTGTTATCTGTGTGTGCTATGATCTGTCACATCAACCTCAGACAATCCAGTTTGGCATTGGTGAGGCCATGTTTATTCTGTGGAAGTGAACCACACCTTCAACAGTTTTTTTTTTTTTTTTTACCTCGGCCAAGTGTAACTCAATGACATGGCAAAGTCATATTAAAAAAAAAGAGCCTGCCTTAAATCTACAAAATGGGATCATGAGAGTTGAAGCTGTCAGCTCCCTGGTCACATCTACTCAAGAGGGAGATACAACAAGGGAGCTAACAGTTAAAGCACAGCACTGAACTGTAGCATTCATTTGAAATGTAAATTGCTGAGGGTTAGTGGGCCTAGGTAGGTTAGACACCGTGGCCTGACTGTGCCATCACTGCTGTCACATCAGCGTTTCATCTTGTGACCTGCGAGCAACAACATGCAACACAATGGAAGCGAGTGTCTTCTTAAGAAACGGGGAGAAAAAGCAGAAGGCGGATGTAACCATGAACTTACCTTGTACACTTTCCCAAACGCTCCATCTCCCAGCTCCCCAATAATCTCCCAAATTTCCTCCGGATTCACATCTCTGTGCACATGCTCGTACTGCTTCTTCTTCTTATCGGGCCCTAACTTGAATATCTTCCGAAAATTGAAGAAAGACATCTTCCCTCAGATGTGAACTACAGCGCTGTGGATGCGGTCTCGTTCGGTTATTTCCGCCAAGAAAACGTAGCGGTTCCTCCCGACGGCGGAGCTCACAAATGGCTATCGGAAAAGGGGCATGCAGGCGTTAAATGAAGGCAGACAGGCCGGTGCTGGAGCCATTCAGCTATGATAATGTCAATTATAACTTCCCTCGACGGCGGTTATTCACAATCACATCGTAGCTAGCAGCCCTAACAGGACGCAGGCGGACGAGGTGAGGGATACAGAGAAGAGTTCGCTGTTCCGCAAAGGCTGGTGTTTCCGTTTCAGACAGAAAAAAATAGAAATTGAACCGCAAATATCGACCATATCATCACACCCAAGGCGACATTTTCTTTTTTTTTGCCGTTTCACGTTACCGAGGAAAAAACGGACAGTCAGCGGACCTCATGTTTCGGTTGGATGACCACACAGAAGTTAGCGGACCGGAGTCAAGCTAGCTAGCACGTTAGTGTTAGCATTTCCGCTAAAAACGTTCAAAATGAAACCCAACAATCATATTAGAGAATTCTCAAGTCGACATTATTTATATACTTTATTTAAAAACACACGTTGAGCTCAAGTGCTTTCAAATAGAGAAATAAATAAACTTACGAGTTTACCTGACAGGTTTAAATATTATGGTTAGGAGCCTACAATAGTATTAGTATGAAATATAAATATGCTTGACTAATTTAAATACAACCCCATTATTTTATACATACACAATGCATTTTTAGCTTACCAATTTAAATATCAATTTTCAGCAATATAATGTATTTAATACAAATATACCTGATTAATTTAAATATCGGTTAAAAGCTAAGAAACTGCCCATGGACACCAACAATTTTGAATAGTTTAGCAATGCTAATGTTGGAATGCTAACCAGCAGTCAAATTGGTTTATTATGTGTCTAAAAAGCTAACTAGTTATATTAAGCTAATTGTCTTATGCTACATTAGCTTGCTGTAGCACCTGCTATCAAGCTTGAATTCTTAGCTTGTTGTAGGCTAAGCATCCCTGGTGGTGTGACAATATTTTATTTTAATCTCAGTAATCTAAATATAAATGATAAAACGTTTTTAAAACAACAACCAGAAAATAATTCTGTGTTATGTAACATTTATGTAGCTGTTAAAATAAAATAGAAATGCATAATTTAAAAAAAAAGAATTAATTTTATCCTTCGGTAGTTTGAGGCACAGAAATAAGCAAAGATAATTTAATTAAATTAGGTTTCATTGCAGCAAATACATTTCATCAGTGTGTTAAAGGAGATATTTGGGTTTTTTTTGTTTGTTTGTTTGAGTAGTAGCTGTTAGACATTTAAGTCATTTTGACAAGCCCACCACTAGTTTATTTTTTTATGGCTGTTTTTGTGCCGCTGAAACATAACGACAGACCTTTACACTGTATGTTAAATGCTAACGTTTCCGCTGCCAGTGCGCCTGTCAGCAGTTAGCTTGACGCAGTCGTTTAGCGGCGTCTGTTTCCTGAATCTCCTCGGCAGGACGGGCTCTGCTCAGCGGCTCAGCCGGGCTCAGCCCCCTCGTCTCTACCACGCATGCCACTTGTGTTTCTGTCGTCATGAAGAGGAGAAAATGGTAGAAGTTGTTTTAGATTTTAACCCCATTTTGGCCCATTTTCTATTATAAACATGAAGTCTGTGTTTTAAAGTAGATTATGCAGGCAAAGTGATCAGTTCAGCTAATTTCCAGTAATTAATAGGCTGAGCTAAGGCTGCTAGGATATAGCAAGGATGTAATTCAGTCCAGCTGGCCCACAGCACATAATAACATTGGCTGACTCAACTCATTATAACTCATCCATGGATTATATAGTCCTGTAAAACACAACAGGACCTCTTCTTCTTAAGTGGTTATCCACATCAGCTTCATTTTAGCTTACGTAAAGATTCCCTAGGACACACTGAAATATAGACACAAATATTTTACTTTAAATAGTAATTTGTCTCAAATTTTAAATTTCCAGTAAAATAGTTTAAGTACTTGGAGATTTTTATATATGCATTTTAAATATAATGACATTTACACCTGCTTCCTCGTTGTGACGACACATAGTTCCTGTTGGCTAACACCATAAACCATAAAACAAGATTGTAGGTGGTCACAATACTTTTCTCTTTCAGCAAACTTTTTAAAAAACATGCAAATGTCTACGAAGATCAACAGACCAAAACACAATTGAGAGGACTTTAAGTGAAGAGAAATGGCACGTATCAATCAAACGTTCTTACATAAATATGTACAAGTGTCATTAGAAAATGTACAGAAATGTTCTATTTATATCAAACTGTTGAGTTACTTCATCAGCTCTACCTTTGAACATGTAGCATCCATGAAGCATATTACCATTAAAGTTGATTGAGTACATATATGAATATGAGTATAAAATGACAGAAGTGGTTTCATGTTTTTCCTTTATTTGAGGCCATTTTGTTTAATGAGCATATAGACTATTTTTTTTTATAAAGAATCTGATTATGTAGGCTAAATAATCAGTTCAGCTAATTTACAATGATTAAGCAGTCATACCTTTAAGGACATAATTAAGTCCAGCTGACATTTTATTTTCATATTCTATCATAAAACTAATAATATCAATACACTTCATAGTGCAAAACACAATAGGCTACCTCCACTCTTTATAAATCATCTGTGAATTCTAAATGCTTGTAAAGTACTTCAGCTCTTCTCTAGTTCTATTGACTACGACTGTAGGCTTACTCACATCCTTTACTTAAAGATTTCCCCAGACATATTCAACTATTGATTGAATACATTTAATCAATATTTTTTTATTTTAAATAGTGATATGCGTTTTCCATTATTAAAATTTAATTACCTGTCTCAAAGTTCTTCTAATGACATCTCCACCTGCTTCCTCACTGTGATGCCTCAAATTATTCTTGCAGACAGACACCATAAATTCACATTTTTTAGTGAGTATATTAATATTTAAAACATTCAAACTCTGTGAAGGCCAACATCCAAGAAATCACAATTACCAAAACACATTTTAAAGAGGAGGACTTTACATAAAGGCACATCTTTTCCAAATACTGTTTTACAATCAAAAGCTCTGAAATAAAAAAAATTGCCTCTTTGTGTGGTATGTCATTCAGCTGGATTACTTCTAAGGCTTTAATGTGTATAAAACATTTTAGTGTTGGCTGAGCTGACACTTAAGCTACTTTATATACTTCTGTAAAATATAATTTGACTGCAAATTGGCAAGTTTTACAAGCATTTATTATGGAAAATTGGAGTCCATAAAACTATAGTTGTCAAATGAATATAAATATCTATTTTCCATACTAATGCTATAGTCTGAAGTATTGAGAGATAATGGCATACTCAGATAAAATACAAACAATTCAGATCTATGTAGAATTAAATGTACTTAAAGTGCAATTTAATAATAAAAAAAGCACCACTTGAGTTGTGCAGCGCCACCATGTGGCAAAAACAAACATTATTGTCTCCTTCACCTCCATGCTCATCCACTAGGGGGGAGCAAAGTCATTCCTTAAGTTCTTTAGTGGTATTAGTGCTGTCAGAAATACAACTGTGACTTGGACATGAAGGCCCAAGTAGAAGACAGAAATGATATGTTGTGCGCATGTCAGCCAAGCAGATAAATGACATGTTTGCTTGCATGTTGCGGTGCAAACTGTGGCATCTGCATATAGTAGGATCGTTTAATGTCACAAAGATGTTTCAAAACCTCAAACATGTCTTCTCTCCTCCTGATGTGCGTAATTGTAGTTTGTCTTGTACAGCTTATAGTAAAAAAAAAAAAAAAAAGGATGCATTTTTTCTTCTTACTCCGCATTTTACGCACAGAAAAAAATGTCTTTCCAACATCTAGTCTGTCAAAAGTTTGCCCCAAACTATACGTAATTTGAGCTAGGATGTTTAGTGCATTTTTACACGCGTGACAAACAATAAATACAAAATAGTCCCCACCAGGCTGACCTCACTCCCTGAAGGGTCGCATGCAGCCAGCTGCAGCAGCAGCACCGCCCCGTTCACACTGACTTGCTCTGCCCCTCTCGCTCCTCGCAGCAGCGGTGCAGCCCCTCCAGAGGGAGGAGAAGTCTGATTAAACGCCAGTTTTATTGCGTTGTCATGTTTCACAACGAGTTCAGAAGCTCCGAGACCGTCTCACACCATCATTTCATGGATGCACCCGAAGCCTGAGTGCGCAGTTTTTGGTTGTTTTTTTTTTTTGTTTCATCCTGTCAACTTTTTTTTTCTTTCCTCCTTGGTGACCGCACAATCCAGTCCCCCTCCTTGTGATTTCTGATAATCAGGTTTTCATGGGTGAACTTCTTCGTATGTACTTTTTGTAGTGTTTCGTGGTGCTAATTCTTTTCGGTCTGTCAAGATGCAGTTCCGCACCGTCCTCGACGTGAATGTTGTGGACGTGCAGAAGAGAAGGAATCCCTCCAAACACTATGTGAGTTGTCTCATTGTTCTCTGTTTCTGTTGTCCTGTTGTAAAAGCAGAGATAACTTCGCCAGCGCAGGCTCCACACTGTGTGCAGCCTCTTTGGAAATTTAACCCATGCTATTGCAGCTTAATGGATGTCAGTGTCTCTGCTGCTTGATGGATGTGCCATGAAATGTGGGACAGACATCCAGGGTGTCCACAGGATGAATCCAATGACTGTTAATTTATGGAATTTTCTTGTGGTCGTGCTGAGAGATTATTTTTTTGGCAGTGAGTGATGTGAATCTGGAACACTGACAACTTTACTGATCCTCTGACTTTTCATCCAGCACCATCAACAGGTCACAATTTCAGTTTTTATAGTTTCTCTTACACTGATTTATGAACTAATACTTCCGCCTCAACTTGATAGTGCTCAACGATAGCTGGCACATATAAGCAGGGTAACACATTTTGTCAATGCGATCATTATACCTGCTTAAACATTAATATTTTTACGTATTAGTACTGTGTCTGATTTTGGCATTTAGTGGATCATTGCGCCTAAGGACAGCCTTAATGAGCTGCTATCATAGCCATAAATTCAAAGACCAGTTCAGTGCGAAAAGAAACACGTCAACATGGTTTAGTTTTAATTGACTGGTGACGGAATGAGAGGGGTCTTCAGGAAGTATCAGAGATGCCTCCTTTCATGTTAGCCATCTGGATGTACATGTGATTGCGTTTGATGGACAGCAGCCCACCGGCTGAGCCCTGACAGGGGAAGAAAAAGTCAACAAACATGGGCTGTAGCTTGTAAGCCAACATTGGTATGGAGGAGTTAAGGGTCACACCAGCATCCAAACACACAGAGGTGGTGCTTGCAGAAACATTCACATGCTGTTAAATGCTCTAATTGGCTATATGAGCTGAAAACCAACATTAATAGTGCCTTGGCCCCTTTCCACCAGTTAGCTCCTTGT